GGGCATAGGATGAAATATTGTCCCGACCTGAACAAAGATGGTGCTTCCGCATCGACGAGTGCTTCCACATTGACGGCTGCGACAACAAGAGCAAGAGGCGGACGTGGTCGTGGCAGTCGAGGCCGAAGGGGCGGACGAGGAAGAAATAACTCACAAGCTATATAATGTGTCGTAGTGGGTTTTAATATGTAATATGTCAGGACTATGTTTTAATATGTAATATGTCAGGACTATGTTTTAATATGTAAGATGTCAGGACTATGTTTTAATTTGTAATATGTCAGGACTGTGTTTTAATTTGTAATATGTCAGGACTGTGTTTTAATTTGTAATATGTCAGGACTATGTTTTAATATGTAATATGTCAGGACTATGTTTTAATTCGTAATATGTCAGGACTATATTATAATTTGTAATATGTCGTACTATGTTTTTATTTGCACCTAAGATTTGTTGTTTGAATTGCAGATATGTCTTCGTATCCGTTGCTTAATGGTAACATCGATAGAAAGCACCGGGGCGCCCTTACGGAAGCGGGCAACAACTTAGACGTGTTGGTCACTCGTACCCCAAAGACTAACTGGCTGATACACAATTCATGGGTTGACAGGTATGTGTGCATATAATGGAGTCCATATAATGACTTACTATGTTTGACATACTTTTCATAGCCGCTAACAATCTCTTTATTTTGTAGGTTAAGTTGGGCTGGACTTCTACCCTTGGCACGGCTGGTTGAGGGTACATTGGATGAGTGGATTGATGGTCCGGACTTAGATGAGGCAGGTGAACCATTGCAGTTACACAAGAGGCAAGCGAAACGTTTATCTTACGACAAGTCACTCCTTACCTGCTTAGTAGATAGATGGAGACCAGAGACACATACGTTTCACTTTCCCTGGGGAGAGATGGCGCCTACTTTACAGGATGTGTCTTACTTGTTGGGATTACCTCTGGCCGATGCTGCCATAGGTCCCTTAGAGGTAGAATCTGGGTGGCAAGCAGCGATGCAGACCCGTTTTTTGGCTGCGGTCCCGACTGCTAGGGCCATAGACAACGATTCTCATGGACCTCTTTTTAGATGGTTGAGCCAGTTTCAGGTAACCATCACGGCCACTTAAACAAATGTTGTTTTTTAGTTGTCCGATGTTCATACAATTATTACGTTTCTATGTAGATTGTCTCGTTAGGATATCCCGACGTTCAGTTGTCGGAGGCACAGATTGACCAGTCCCTAGAGGCATATATTCTTGGCTGTTCGGCAAAACTATGTTTACGGAGAACCACGTGACCACTGTCGATGCACGACTCATCGGTATTGCACGAGAGATAGCTGATGCACGTTGCCCTGCGGATATTCTACAGAGGAGTTTTGGTTCTGCTGTGTTAGCGGCTACGTACAGAGGCCTGTGCAAAGCTTGCTTGTTGAAGTCTAGAAAATCTAGTCTTGTTGGATGTCCATTATTGTTGCAGCTCTGGTCATACGAGAGATTCCCTATTGGACGACCCTATGTCTACGTTGATAAACCTTTTGGTTTGGAGGACTTAGCTGGGACTTATGTGCCTGCTATCGGCAACTTACCTACCATGGGATCTGTTTGGGCACGGCGAGAGGTACTTTTATATTAAGTAACAATTAATTCAATTATTTCTTGCCATTCAATAGTATTACTAATGCTTATTTGTTGTCATGCACAGAGACAGTTTGCGCATACTCAGGTTAGGGGATGCTACCCGTCCTTCATGGCGCAGTTTGATAGTTTGCACGAGGATCAAGTTATTTGGGAGCCATACTCGCCTCAGGCTATATCATCGAGGTACCTAGTTGGGATTTTTGGATTGTGCACTAGAGATCGGCACTTTTGGATGACCAAGGCCAAGTTGGTGTTCGACGTGATGGTTGAGGAGATGTCTCTTCATAGGGTGATGAGACAGTTCGGTCTATATCAAGAGTCTGAGATTCCAGATATTCCACACTTGCCAGAACACGTGCACAAGTAAGTACTAATACTATTTTAGTTGTCAGCTCTGCATTCATAATATACCTAATCATGTATCACACATGTCAATCTCAGGGACAGTCGCCTAGGAGGAAACAAGTCCATGGCTTATTGGCTTAAGAGCATTACCCCTTACGTTGACGAATGGACTACCGCTGCGACAAATATCTGGGGTGAGGTTTAGCCCTTTAACTGGGAAATGTTTGGGTTGTATCTGCAGTGTTACCGACATACAATGAGGATCTACTTGGTTCCATCAGCTGCTCCTGATCAGATCGAAGCCCCTCTCACCAGCGGTATGTACCCAACTGCCTCTGTTGTGGGAACCATACACCACGCGGTAAATGCCTTGGTTCTCATATGTTAAGTCTTTTGTTAATCTGGACATATTCACTTGGTTGTCTATTCGTGGTGTCTATCATACAACGAGGATATAATTGGTTAACTCTTTGTGTACAGGGTGACTTGATAGTACATGCGTGAGAGGAGGTTTCCGCTTTAATGTGGCGCTTTCAGAGGGGAGAAACTATCCCACCGCGAGAGGGCGTCTCATGGTTGAGGCGTCTTGATGACAAGCTACGCGGGATTTACGCAGCTGTTACGTGTAGACGGACTTCGGATGTTGCACTTCCTCCTCCAGCACATCGTCCGCCACGTCCCTCTGTACAACATTCAGAACCACGACCCTCTGTGCACCGTTCAGAACCACGACCCTCTATGCACCGTGCAGAATCTCATCCTTCACAGCCAGGGAGCTCTTCCTGGCATGATCCACCTCCTTCACAGCCAGGGAGCTCTTCCTGGCATGAGCCACCTCCTTCACAGTCAGGGAGCTCTTCCTGGCATGAGCCACCTCCTTCACAGCTAGGGAGCGCTTACTGGCATCAGCAGATGGAACTAGGTAACACTACTCACTACATTCTTTTGAACAGTGTAGTAATCGTTCTTGCATTCTCAGCAGTCACTGATGCTTACTGGTGGTGCTTCGTTCATGCATTTGTATCAATTTTACATGTTTTACTTTATCGCAGGCCGCAACCAGTCGCAAACGTTCATGCATTCAGAGCAGTCACCGATCCTTAGTGGTGGTGCTTCGTACTTTGAGGGCGACCGCGAGGATGATGACCAAGCTACAAACATTTATGGCTTCTCGCAGACAGTGTTTCACACTCCACCACCACCACCGACACAGGAGACACAGACCGTGACAGACGAGGTTAACTATGGTCGTGGTTATCGCGAGCCTCGTCCACCGCCTCAGCGCTTATCGCCTTCTGGTCCTCGCCCGAGGAAGACCCAGACTCGTCATCGTCTCCCACAGTGATATGCTTATCTATCTATGTATGACTCATTATCTATGTTAGTTTCAGACTATTCGCAGCTGTGTGTCAGTATTTATGTATGAGACATGCTTCATGTATGTGTTAGTATCGCACTTGCTTCTATCTGATCAGGAGACATATATTGTTTTATGTATGCGAGAGACATATTACTATTAATTCACATTCTTATTCCAGTTACATTTCCAAATAGACTACAACCGATAATTAAGATACAAGTACATCTGAATTAAACGGTGCGACTGAACTTGTGCAATACATCTTACATACTACAAAATGAAATTCAGATAGAACATAATGCCCTACAATAATACAATACAAACTAATAATGCAAATACATATGAATGAAACGGTACAACGGGAATACATCTTACATACTACATGAAGTCATCATCGTCATCCTCCGTTGATGCAGCCCTCTTGCCCTTCGACGATGCGGTCCTCTTGCCCTCCGTCGATGCAGAACTCTTGCCCTTGGTCGATGCAGAACTCTTGCCCTTCGAAGATGCAGAACTCTTGCCTTTGGACGATGCAGAACTCTTGCCCTTCGAAGATGTAGAACCCGGAAGCGGCGGCATGAAGATATCATCGTCGTCCTCGCTCTCCTCAGTCCATAAAAATGGATGCTTTTCTGCAATCCTTCTGAAAGTTTCACTCTTCGGCTCCACCACCTTCTTCCACCTTTCATGCAACCTAAGAAGTTCTTTACGTACCTCCTCATAGGTCCTTTCAGGCCACCCAGACCTACGTAATTCGTGAGCCAACTCATTCATTATGGTGTCACTACCGGTGAGTTCGTCCCATGGAACTATCCTATTGTCCATCCTGAAATCGGTAGCTAGACTCAGCAGAGTGCTGCTCATCTCAGGGTGAAAACTACGATCGAATGGATAATGGGACATCTCGACTACACTACACTGGAATGCTTATCCACCTCCACCGAAAGGGGTTTTTATAGATACAGAGGAGAAAATGGCGGGAAAGAATAACTGCGGTATGGCGGGAAAATAAGGCAGGAAGGGGTTGGCGGGAAACGGATGGCGGGAAGGGGTTGGCGGGAAAATACATTTCAGCCTAATGTATGAGCCATGCAACTTCGGCCTATACGAGACCAAAAAGTACTTTTCGGCCTAGGCTTGACCAAAAAATCTATTTCGGCCTAGACTTGACCGAAAAGGGCCTTTTCGGCCAGAACCCCACCACTTCGGCCAAGAGATGGCCGAAAAGTCCACTTTGGCCTAACTGTGGCCAAAAAGTCCTATTTCGGCCAAGAGATGGCCAACAGGCTACTACTTTTGATTTTTATGAAAATCATGCTATAGTTTCCGAAAATGCTATAAAATATATCATAGTTTTGAAAAAAAATCAACCGTTTTTACCGAGGCCAGCATAAAAACTGAGTTGCTTGCAATTATATCAGGCACAAGGCAAGGTGAAACACACAGCTGGTAGCAAGATACTGAGGTAGCATATACTGGCAAGCACACGGCAATATGGATACAGGCATGACCGAAATCCAGTTGTTCATTATAGTAATAAAACACATGCTTTGTCATACAAGAACCACCACATAATATCAAGCAAAATTCACTGCTTGGTCATTGCCAGCATGAGTAGTTTCAAGACAACCTCATTGGTACAGTCTGCTGCTGCGTCCGCTCTAGTCTTCCCCTTTCCAAAGATCAGCAAATTCATCGGGCTCCAGGGTGTTCTCCATCTCATGCATCTTCCTCCTCACCTTGGCCTTCACTTTCTTGGCGTACTTGCCTGCCTTCTTCCGCTTCTCTAGAGCGCGGATCTGCTCCAAATAAACAGACCCACGGGTTTAGATGGGAAGGCATACACGAACACAGCGGGAAATGCTTTGTTGCAACTGAATTAAATACATAAATCCTGGTGAACAGAGCCATATGAGCAGTAAATCCTTTTCTCCCAGAACCACAGCAAGATACCAGACTATGTCACCATTCTAAGTTTGTTGATCGATAAAAATGATAGGTAGTTAGGTCCAACACAACAAGAACAGAATGAAGCAGCAATGTACAAGGAGTATATGTCAAAGAAATATAATAGACACAATGGATTGAGTCAAATGGACAGCACTGATGCATAAAGTGTACCTTGGTTGTACCATAACTGATATCGAATGTCATTCTAGAATATTATAAAACTAACTGTGCACCCACCATTCCATCACTTGTCGGTTTTCTCAGAGTCAAATTTGTTTCAACCAAAGAAACACAAGAAAAAACATAATATAACCATTCCTTGATGATGGAAGAGGTAACCCCTTGATTTCCTTTACAAATATATTAGGAACATATGTACCATAGTCTAGAGCAACCGGTGAAAGCATTACCTGATTGGGAGACACATAGAATGGGTTCTCATACAATGTGGGGCCACCAAAACTACCACCAAATATTTTGATTGGATTCAAACAGTATCTGGGGCCAACCTACACACGGTAATTTAATTAAAATGTTGATTAGCAACCACATGCCATATAAATTATGCAGATATAAGCTCACTCTACTTTTACCTCAACAAGTGTCATTTTATCTAGGCCTCCTTTATCAACTTTATCAATCTCATTGTGGGGTACAGAAATCTGCCAAGTATATCATTTGCTAAAATTCAGATGGTGATAATAACTCAATGGTTTTAAGTACTGAAAGTTCATCGCAATACAAATGCAAAGAGACCAATACACCACCTGGTAATTTCTGAACCAAATGTGGTCATCCACAATGGAGAAGACAAACACATGATCATGAAAAGGTTTTGCCTTCCGATGATCTTTTGGAGTAGCAAAAATCTGCAAGCACGGCAATGGACAATGAGTTAGCTCTAAACTTCTTTGATTAAAAGAAGAACACGTCTCCATAGAATTAATTTGACCCTATCGAATGTATTATTGCATCACTAATACTGGTCTGATGACCTCATAAAACAACTCTACTCCTTCACAATAAGCAATGGAAACACAAATACACGTTTTTTTAACATCCAGAAGGTTTCCATTAACTTGGATCTCTTGGAATATAACTACAGTTATCAAAGGTGAATCCTTCCTTCAAAGGTTCATATTATATTATAAACATAAAAACCAATAGTGGATGCATCACACCCACATGCTAATATATAACAACAGGGCATACACATACGACTATCGTAAACATGTGTGAAGAAACCAAGTTTAACATCTTTTTACACCAATTAAACGCACATGGTAAATGCGAATAAATTGATCTCACAAAAACAGATAAAAAATAGACAACATTAATACAGATCAATATCATCTTCGTTCAAAAATGCTTGCTGATAACACGTGCACAACATAATGTAACATGCGAGACCATCAACATACTTGAGTTATCATTTCCTTCAAGAGTTTCCAGTGAGGCTGCTGGTCAAAATTTGAAGAAAATGTTAGCAGAGGACGTGACCCTTTCAGATGGTTACCCGTGAGCTTGAGTTCCTCCATAGTGTGAACTGCACATAAATGTTACAGGATGTTGGGCATTAGTAGATGAATTGTCAGTAAAACAACTGGATAACTACTATAGGTGTGAAATCATACCAGCATTGACTAGAAATTTCACTGATGGCCCTGCGGGAGACTTGACCATCCAAAGGTAAAGATCCTTCTGTTTTCTGCACTGGAATATACACGCAGAAGATGCTTCAATATAAGAATTGGCAACTATAGTGCATATTCAGATTTCCTAATTTTGGAGCGATGTCACACTGACAAGAAAACAACAACGTGGAGCTAACACCTTTTAAACATTCATGGTTCACGCTAGAACAATGATATTTATCAGAGCTAAATTCGAAGTTGATTTAGCACCAGAAACAAATTACTTGCTCCATCCATGTTAAACGTGGTATGATTTAGCAACCTTTAATGTTGCCATCATGCAGTTCTCCTATCAAAGTAGGCAACCTTCATCCCATGGAAGGCAAGCCATTTCCATCAAGAAAGCAGGCAAGCAGCGAATGTGCCATACCTCGAAAAAGAGGCAGCTGGAGCAGCTCCTGAGCTCGACCAGCTCGTTGAGCGCGCTGCCCTTGCTCTGCTTGGACTCAACCTTGCTGTCCTTCTTGGCGTGCGGCAGCAGCGACACCACGTTCTGCATCAGGTGCCGGTACCTGCGCGCACACACGCATCATCAACCCAACCCGCCGAAACACTTGTTACATCCGCCACAAAAACATCTGTCCGGCGACCGCCGCAGAGCTCGGAGGAGAGAGGCTCACCTGTAGATGATGCGGCGGGAGCACGTAATGAGCACCTTCTCCTTGTTCCGGAAGAAGGGGCCCGCGTCCTTCGAAGCAGGCTCGGCGGGGGAGTCCGGCTGGTCCTTGAAGCCGAAGAGGGTGCGCTCCGGCCGCTCCGGCGCAGAGTCGTCGGGCTTCTCTACGGCGGCTGACGCGGGAGCATCGGAGCTGCGCTTCCTCTTCTTCGCCATGGGGGGTGGGGCGCTGGGGCTTCTGCCGAGGAAGGCGCTGCGGAGGCGGCGGCGGCGGCGGCGGCGCGGGAGCGGGTTGCTTGTGGGGGTCTCGGGGAGAGAGGGCTTAACCGTTAGGGTCTTTTCTGTCCGGTCCACCCCTATTTAGGGCTAGGTTTTTCCTTTTCTTTTTTGAGGGGCATGGCGATGTGGGCCGGCCCATGAGCTAAACACAAACAAACGGGGAAAAGATAGCACTCGGGGATCGACAGGGCGGAGAGCGTAGGTGGAGAGGAGGGCAGATCGACGCAGACCGGGTGGCGCGGCTGCGGCTCGATCTGAGGAGCATGAGAAACAACAGAGAAGAGAACAGAGGCAAGGCAAGCGCTCAGATGGACTGGCGGCTCTTCTGAAATTTGTGGTATTTGCTAGTAGTAGTTTTCGTTCTTGCTGTGTGCTTGCTTAGGTAGACAGATGAAATGAACTGGGTTGAAGTGCCCATCTTAATATTATATTTTTATTTTTACCGTTCGGTTTTGGATAATGCACTTCCTCCATAGTTCCATATGAACCAGTTTATGTTTGTGCACTCCTAAAGCTAAGATATTTTGCAAATCTTCTTTTCTCTTTCGTTGGAAGTTTAGGATTTTAAACCAGCATATTGTGTTTACATTTCAGAGAGTGGCGGACGATATCTCATTGGAAGCTACAACTTTCTGGTTTGGACACCAAAATAATTAACGAAACAGGTAACCAGTGAGCTACTTCTACTCTCTAAGCTATTCATTACAGTGCTATGTAAATAATGAGTTTTAAAATCCTGTGATGTATTTTGCAAACTGAATTAGCAACATGATTACTGGGGTACAAATATAAACTTCAAGCGGGTGATTAGAAGCACTGGAATCTGCCTCTGCAGTAACGTTAAAAAGTTGATCTGCGATCTATATGTCACGAGTTACTTTATCACCCTCTGTTTTCAGATGTATTCTTTCGCCAGATGTACTAATCTCAAAATTGTCGGTCAATTGCTAAGCGCATGTGTTCTTACATGGAGCTTTGCGTATTTGGGTTTAAATGCCATGTAACCATATCCTAATCTGGAATATGGAGCCAGCAGTTTTATTATTAATTGTATACCCCATTTTGACCCTATGAGATCCTAATAGCAATTGCCATTTTTTGGGTCAATTGCTAAGGGTATGAGTTCTCTGTGGAACCTTGCATATTTGTGTTTAAATGACACGTACCTGAGGGTCTGAGGGACAACAATGCATGTGTTTGAAGAATGGCTTATTTTGAAACAAACTGTCGCTGATGATTCAGTGTACTCATCAGAACACCACCTATGTCTTCTCATTTTCAACTGTGCATGTTTGATTTCACCTTAGCATTCCCCTTGAACACTAGGACATAATTAAGGTTTGGGAAAATTGCTTATTAAGACCAAACTATAATTGATAATTCAATGTGCAGGGCTACAGCGTTGCTCTTCCTGAAAAGTTGCAAACTGGAAAGTAGAACATGTACCGGTAGGTTATCTATATGTTAAGCAGTATTTTTCTTATACTGTTGTCTATTGCTCACAATCGCTGTTACAGTATTCGCAGATCTGCAGAGTCACCTCTGTGCTTTGTCAACAGATTTCCTGGCACCTTAGACATTGGAGCGCTGCATGATAATTTTGAGTTTGTATATTCACCATCACTTGAACATGTGAACTTCCATTTCTTTGGTATTCATCTCAACTTAGTCATATACATGTACTAACTATGTTAGCACACTCTCATTTTGAATGATTATGCTGTAATAGCTTTTCAGATTATGTCCTGTTTAGAAGATCTGCTGATTATGTCCTTCTTATTTGCTGAATATATGCTAGAAAGATGGAATTTTCTGGACAATAATTGAAAGGCAGAGTTTAGCAGAGCAATTGTCAGTTCTTTGTATACTGAGAAAGCTCTCACACAGTCGAGCAATTTGATCTTTATGATGCCAAGAGAACCTACAGATCAGTAGATCATTCTCACAGAGGATCTGCTTCAGAGTACATCGATAGAGGTAACACCCCGGCCAGAAAACCTTTTCATGTTTGCTACAGTGCATTCTACTCCTCACTGCTGGCAGTGGAATGGAGCAAAACACTATGTTGTGAGGTGAGCAAAACACAGAGTGCTGTGCATATTCATGAATAATAAGAACACTATAGCAACGTGTAGAAACATGAACTGAATTAGTATTTTTATGTGAATTTATAGATGTTGTTGGCCTAATTACTGCAGTTGCTGAGATCGCACCACCATAATCTAAACTAACAACAGAGACGGCAAATTTACATCACCGCCCGTCGAAAAAAATATTACGTCACTGGTGGAAGGTAAAATTCCATGGAAGCATCATTCGAGCCACCTTTCAGAAAACACAAGAAGATGCATTGTCTCACACCTAACAAACGGACTACTTACTGCATTTATTCTCATTAGCATCTGCAAATGTATGTGGTTTACGATGTCTCATTTCAATTGGGATGTTAATATTTGGTATACACCAGGAGGTGTATTATTACGCTAAGATAAACAACGGCCTACTAATTCTAAATATGGTATATTTTTAATTAAAAAATGGATTTGATGTGTAATCTACTATTTAATTGTTTTAGCTAGAATCCGTTCTAATGCAGGGTCTTTGATTTGTTTTTATTCCTTATTCAGGACATATTTGTAAGCATGTTGCTCCTGACTTTGATTTTGCAGTTCAAGAGGGAAAGTGTAGTATTGAATAAGGAATATCACATAAAGCTCCAGACTCTCCATACTAGATCTCATGATCAACAAAGATCGAGAACGTCTTGTGTTCTTTCCGTTGTAATGCTTGCATTCAATATCTAGAGTCCAATTCTCGTTGTTAATACCCACTGTTACACTAAAAAGCATAGATGCAGTGTCTAATTTCCAGTGACATAAAACACTGGATAATGCTAATGCGAAAATCTAAATGGGATATATGCTAGGGTTACTCCCGGGTGCTCGCTCGTAAAGCAACATGGGAGTCCCGCTGCTAGTTGTAACAAATGGGATAGAAGTATTTCTTAAATATTTTGACATCTCTAGCATTTCAGTCGTGAACGCTTAAATCATTGTTCTCTATATGGTTCCAATTTTAGTGGATGTCCCCGAAGGGACCTTAAATCATTGTTCTTACCCGATGGTTCCTAACCAGCCTGCACTGCACCTCACTGGTTCCTTGCATCTTCCAGTTTGATGATTTAATGCTAAGCAATATACCAAAATATGCACACTGATTCACAAAGCAGTACATTCATGGCTTCACTGTGGTACTGCACATAAAAAGTACATGAACATTACAGAAATTTACATTTATTTTGGAACCTAGTAACATATGCATACATTTTTTCTTATCAAGTACTTACATTCCTGCTTCCATTTACATACATTTAAAGGAATCATCACTCATATTTATCGTTTGCGGTAGTCCAATATACTCTTATTTCACACTGCAACTTATACATTTAAAAACACACTACTATTGGAGTGAACTGATGAAGGAAGATGGATCAGGAGGTGTGGGGATTGTGACGGATCCATCAAGCATCTGTGTCACTTTCAGCATGGTTGGCCGCATTGTTGGCTCCTCCTGGAGACACCACAATGCCACGGCCACGAAGCGTTCCATCTTCTTTATATTGAAGATTGCCTCCTCATCACCCTTGATTAACAAGTCAAGCCTCCCACTTCTATAGCAGTCATTTGCCCAATATGTCAGTATTGCTTGCTCCTCATCAGCTGTCTCTAGCTCCACATTCCGTCTGCAACACACAATCTCCAGCAAGATCACCCCAAAACTATAAATGTCGACCTTGGATGTGATCCCTATGTTTTTGAACCACTCGGGCGCGACGTACCCTCGAGTTCCCCTGATGCCAGTGTTCGTCTGTGTCTGATTTGTCCTGAGCATCTTTGCTAGGCCAAAGTCTGAGATCTTTGCCACGAGATTCTCATCAAGAAGGATGTTTTGGGGCTTTATGTCACAATGGATAATTTGAGTGTTGCATTCCTCATGTAAGTAGAGCAGGCCTCTTGCCACCCCAAGTGCGACTTGAACGCGAAGGTTCCAGGTTGGGCTTGTACCACAAAAAAGGAATCCATTAAGTGAGCCATTGGTCATCAACTCGTACACCAGAAGCCTCTCTTTTCCTTCTGCGCAGAAACCGAGCAACCGTACCAAGTTTCTGTGGAAGGTCCTTCCGATGGTTTGAACCTCAATGGCGAACTCCTTTTCACTCTCTTGGAGCATCTTGTCAATCTTCTTGACTGCAATGCCAGTCCCAAACTCATCTTCCAACTGGCCCTTGTATACGATACCAGATGCACCGCTACCCAGCTCTTCACGAAATCCATCTGTCGCCTTCTCAATCTCCTTGTACGTGAATGCTCTAAGAGGCAATGCCTCGGGACTCATTGATTGTATCTGGGCTGGCTTCTTTCGCCTAATGACACGGTAAGATCCAAAATACAGAATGGAGATGAGGAAAACAATAACAAGGGCAGATCCTCCAAGGAGCAGTGAACTTCCTATTATCCAATACCTCTTCTCTTTTCTCCATGTATTGGAGTTACTGCCCAACTGGGACCCAGGAACATTAGTCCTGGGAACCTTGATAAAAACTGATCCCACTATGTTACCTTCCATTCCGTTGGACAAGGGGCTCCTCTTTTTCCAGCAAGAACCGCCATAGTACACCGCAGCAACACAAAAGCAATCAGTTAAGCAAAGTCTTTGGCAAGAATCCTCACCAATGGGGCTGTGACGCTCATAGTCTCCAAAAGGCCAATTGATATTGTTCATTGGAAGTAGCTTGAATTGCTGAGTAGATTCAGTATCATCCAAGTCACAGCTATGTGGAGCAAAGTCTTGCTTGCAACCTTTGTACGTTCTTTCGTTGTCGATGAATGAGTAGTTTATTGGGCACTTACATTCCACACTCCTGTTTGTGTTGGAGCGGCAATAGCTGTTGAACCCACAGGCACCACTTCCAGTCTCTACCCTGACAGCCTCACAGAAGTTCCGTGGGAGGTAGTCCATAACTTTCCACTCAGCGTTCCATCCACTGGTCTGAGCTGCCTTCTTGGGGTACACGTATTGCCTGAACACCCCATCTGCGTCAAGTGTGGCGCGCCGGTAAAAGTCTGCCGGTGAGTCCAGTGTTTCTGATGTAATATTGAATTGTCCGCCAGAACTTGTAGTGTAGTAGATGCTGCCGGTTGTGTTGAACACGAGGCTTGAACCATTTCCACCAGTCTTAGAATCCCAATATGGGGGATCATAGCGGAAAAGGGATGGAACAGCCATGGTGTAAAACCTTAGGTTGCCATCATCCTGTACGCTGATTTGGAATCTTCCAGCTGAGTAGTCGTTATCCATGAGCCGGCTTTGCAGGACGGACCCTTTAGGCAGCTCCTGGGAGGGCAGGATGGTGTCAGTTGGGTGTTCAAAGCTCTGCCATTTGATGGATCCATCTTTGGCATAGAGCACGAAATTGCCTGTGTCGAGCATGGCAGCATGGTCGACGTTGGTCACCCGGGGGTTCCATATCTCTGTGCCAGCAGGGTCCTGGAGCGAAAGCACGCCACCCGGCGTGAGCTGCAGTTGGGAGCCAGCTGGCAGTGTGGTGTTGGTGTTGGTGTTGGTGTTGGCGTACCAGACAGCGGTTTTGGAGGTGATCTTGTCGAACCAAACGGCGAGGAGGTAGACAGAGGCGTCCGCGTCGCTGGGGCGGAAGCCGAACGCGAATTCACCGGAGGGCGAAATCCGTGAGGCGTTTGGACCTTGAGTGGTCAGGGTGGATCCTAGTGTGATGTTTTGGAGTGCCTGTGCGTGCGAGGGAGCTTGAAGCAAGAGGGAGAAGAGGAAGAGCAGTGGCAGCGCCATTGTTGTTGGCCAAGCTGTTGCTTCTGGTAATGGTTTTATTATGTGCTTATCACGTCCTTTTGACGATTCTCGCATGCATCCATTTGTCAGGGCCCTGTGTCACGGGAGAAAAAAACTGGTGTTGAACCGTTCAGGCCGGCAGTTTTATCTATGTTGAGCAGTTAGACGTCGCTCGCACATCACATCGGAGAGTTGACGAGCAAGTTTTTTCTGCTCGTAAGGATGCCCGCCGTGTCAGGTTTTGATTGGCACCCGGTGGAGACCAAGGTTATTTTCTTGTGTGATGTGAATGCATGGCCTTGACCAGTATGATGGGCAGGTGAGTCCACTTGCCTGGCACCAAGACTCGGTCACTATAGGTAATTTACAAGTGCTTGGTCTTTTCTGCGCCGTGCTTGCCGGTGTTTCTAGTTCAGCCTACCTGCGGGGCGGGCGTGTTGTTTCCTCGTACATGTTGTCTCTATCTGAGCTATGTTTTTCAGATTATGAATTGGTGGACTCTACGCTTGCATGGCACCAAGACTCGGTCAAGTTATTTCCGAGTTCTGCGCCGTGCTTAGACTAGTCACAATGAAAGTAACTTAACTAGTAACATCACACATTTCAATACAAAATTACTTATGTGGCAGCTAATTAATAAGGAGAGAGGGGTTTGTGGTAACTTAGGTAGTTACTGTAACATCACACATTTCAATGCATAATGAGTCTATAGCCTAATAAATGAACTCTTTCATGATAACACTCATATGTTACTATCCACTGTGGAGGTAGTAATATAGACTAGTAACATTGGCAAGTTACTGCTCTATGTTACTCCTCACTGTAAGCAGTCTTAGCCGGTGTTTCTAGCTCAGTCTGTCTGCGGGGTGGGCGTGCTGTTTCCTTGTGGTACATGATGTCTTTGGTACTCTATTTGTGCTATGTTTTCAGGTTATGAATTGGTGGAAGATGAAAGCGGAAAAAACTCCCCCGTGCCGCACCCCTGGTGCCGGCACCAGGGGCGACACTCCTCCGCCGCTAGCGACCCCCGCAGCGGGATCCATCTCCGCCGCTGCCGTCGGCCGTTGCCGCGGTGGCGGCGGGCCCTTCTACCAAAGGCGGTAGCGGGCTTCGTTTTTGCGTCTGGAGGCGCCGGGGGAGGGGCGGAGCGGCTGGGGCGTCGTCCGGCCATCTCGTCGGCGCACGGAAGCAGGGGCAGCGGCCCTGGGAGACAACGGTGCTGTCGGTGTCAAAACCGGCGGATTTCGGGTAGGGGGTCCCGAATTGTGCGTCTAGGCGGATGGTAACAGGAGGCGGGGGACACGATGTTGACCCAGGTTCGGGCCCTTTTGATGGAGGTAATACCCTACGTCCTGCTTGATTGTTCTTGATAATATGAGTAGTACAAGAGTTGATCTACCACGAAATCGAAGAGGCTAAACCCTAGAAGCTAGCCTATGGTATGATTGTTGTTGTTGTTCCTACGGACTAAACCCTCCGGTTTATATAGACACCGGAGGGGGCTAGGGTTACACAGAGTCGGTTACAAGGAAGGAGATCTACATATCCGTATTGCCAAGCTTGCGTTCCACGCCAAGGAAAGTCCCATTCGGACACGGGACGAAGTCTTCAATCTTGTATTTTTATAGTCCAACAGTCCGGCCAAAGGATATAGTCCGGCAGTCTGGATACCCCCTAATCCAGGACTCCCTCAGTAGCCCCTGAACCAGGTTTCAATGACGATGAGTCCGGCGCGCAGATTGTCTTCCGCATTGCAAGGCGGGTTCCTCCTTCGAATACTTTATAGAAAATTTTGAACACAAGGATCGTGTCCGGCTCTGCAAAACAAGTTCCACATACCACTGTAGAGAGAATAATATTTCCATAAATCTAATCTGTTGACGTACTCCGTAGTGTAACATCACACCACAGCCAGGTATTTATTCGAATCGTTTTTCATAACCAATCTCAGCGTGTTTTGCGAGGCGGTTTCCTTGGCACGTCTTGTCGAAGCAGAGATCGTGTCCCCTTTATTACGGGATTTTCATCAATATGGACGTGGGTAACCCAACCGTGCCTATGGGTAGGACTCCTAGATCTTAGGCAAGTACTAAACGGCCATGAGGAGGACGCTTGATTCACCCTCTTTATAAAGGGGACAAGGCTTTTTCCTCTCGATCTTAATCGAATCCGCCTCCTGCCTCGAGTTCCAACACCCAAAGCTCAGGTTTAGGCACTTCGGACCTTCAACTATGTCCGGATCCAACCTTTAAGGTCGGTGGATGCCTTCCTCCGTCACGGAGGAGGACATCAAGAAGTTGAGAGAGGCCAGATATCTGACCGCCGAAATTTCGCATCGGCTGCCTGCCCGAGGGCAAGTCGTCCCTACTCCCGAACCCAACGAGAGCGTCGTGTTCGTCTCCCACTTCCTCCGAGGACTGGGCCTCGCTCTGGATCCCTTTGTTAGGGGCCTTATGTTCTATTATGGGCTAGATCTTCACGATCTGGCCCCGGATTCCCTTCTTCACATCTTGACTTTTATTGTCGTATGTGAGGCCTTCCTCCGCATTACCCCTCACTTCGGCCTGTGGCTCAAGACCTTCGATGTGAAGCCGAAGATGATCGAGGGGCAGCACGCAGCGTGCGGAGGCACTTTAATAAGCAAAATCGTTGACACTCCATGGCCTGAGGGTTGCTTCCCAGAGGTGTCCGGATTGTGGCAGCGGGAGTGGTTCTACATCACAGCTCCCCGAAGTGCCAAGTGGGTAGCTGCCCCCACCTTTCGCTCAGGCCCCCCACCACAACTGATGTCATGGATCGACAGGGGGCCGAGCTGGGGTCCAGCCAAGGACGTGCCAATACTGCAAAGCCGTATCCGAGATCTCTTTGAGAGAGATTTCAGTCTGGTTATGGTAGTGCAAGTTATGCTAGTTCGTCAAGTCCAGCCTTGCAAACGTCGGCCCCTTCGCATTTGGGAATTTAACCCGGAAGGACCGCGAGCTATTCAACATTTCCTCGGCATGACGCACGAAGAGATGTACAAATTCTTCTTCGGACCATAAATAATGTGTCCGGACATCACTAAGGATGCAGGTCTGAGCTGATATCGCCCGGATACCCAAGTAAGTAGCCCCGCGTCCGAACACACTGTCCATTTATTTATCGCAACGTTGCCCTAAAAAAGCCGCTCTTTGACCAGGATTGGATAGCGAAGGCAAAGTTGATCAGGTGTCCGGCCCCCCTCCCTGAGACCTCATCAAATCCCATACTAACCAGGATGTTGGAGATCGCGCCTTATCAAGCACCCTCAGGAGAAGATAAATGGGGGAACAAGGAGGCTAGCACCTCTGCGAAGGAGGTTAGCCAGGGAGGAGGAACTGAAACTTCCTCTCCCCAGGGGAGGAAGAGAACCGCCTCTGAGGACCCGGAGACAACGGTCTCCAAACGGGGGAAGAAATCTCCGCCGGAGGGTCCTGCCCTGGGGGATACCCTGGCCGCACTATGCCCTCAAGGGGATCAGCCCTCCATCGAGCTGTAAGTAAAAGGGTACTTAATAATGAAAATATCTCGCCTTACTTTTGAGGAAAATAATCGAAGCATTTATCTTGCAGTTCGGATCTTAGCCCTTCCGAGCAGAGCTCGTCTTCAGGGGATCTTCTTCCAGAGATGATGGAGAGCGAAACGCCTCCCCCTGCCACACCGCCTCATGAGGCGGGCGACCCCGAGGTGTCGTCGCGGAGGGTTTCTCCTGATCCGGCAAGGCCAGAAGGTAATCCTATGGCCACCCGAAGTCCTCGGTATCCGGCTCTTGAAGAGAGCAATCAAAAGAGTCCGGCACCGTCTGGTGTGCGGTCGGACGTACTTAGGGATCTGCTAGAGCAAGCGGCTATCTCAGAAGAGCACCGCACGTTGATGGGTACGGTGATTGAAAGGATTTCGTCCGCTGAAAGCGGGTTGCATGAAGCATTTATGAGTCTACTGACGAGTTTTGAGGTACGTGAAATGATATACATTTTTGACAGTACCGCATATTTTTAGATGTGCCCTGTGTAGATAGTAGCCCCTGAGACTCTGGGTGTTGTCGAAGACAACAGCGCACAGAGGATCATAGTCCCAGGAATAATCGTGCCGCCTTAATATGCAGGTGGCGGAGGGTCCGGTTGAAGGAAATATGCCCTAGAGGCAATAATAATGTTATTATTTATTTCCTTATTTCATGATAAATGTTTATTATTCATGCTATAATTGTATTAACCAGAAACATAATACATGTGTGAATACATAGACAAACAGAGTGTCACTAGTATGCCTCTACTTGACTAGCTCGTTAATTAAAGATGGTTATGTTTCCTAACCATAGACAAAGAGTTGTTATTTGATTAACGGGATCACATCATTAGGTGAATGATCTGATTGACATGACCCATTCCATTAGCTTAGCACCCGATCATTTAGTATGTTGCTATTGCTTTCTTCATGACTTATACATGTTCCTATGACTATGAGATTATGCAACTCCCATTTGCCGGAGGAACACTTTGTGTGCTACCAAACATCACAACGTAAATGGGTGATTATAAAGGAGCTCTACAGGTGTTTCCAAAGGTAAATGTTGGGTTGGCGTATTTCGAGATTAGGATTTGTCACTCCGATTGTCGGAGAGGTATCTCTGGGCCCTCTCGGTAATGCACATCACTTAAGCCTTGCAAGCATTGCAACTAATGAGTTAGTTGCGAGATGATGTATTACGGAACAAGTAAAGAGACTTGTCGGTAACGAGATTGAACTAGGTATTGGATACCGACGATCAAATCCCGGGCAAGTAACATACCGATGACAAAGGGAACAACGTATGTTGTTATGCGGTCTGACCGATAAAGATCTTCGTAGAATATGTAGGAGCCAATATGGGCATCCAGGTCCCGCTATTGGTCATTGACCGGAGACGTGTCTCGGTCATGTCTACATTGTTCTCGAACCCGTAGGGTCCGCACGCTTAAGGTTTCGATGACAGTTATATTATGAGTTTATGAGTTTTGATGTACCGAAGGAGTTCGGAGTCCCAGATGAGATCGGGGACATGACGAGGAGTCTCG